TATATATATATATATATATATATATATATATATATATATATATATATATATATATATATATATTGTAATACATATTATATTGTATATTGTAATATTAATTTAAATAACTCTGTATTGCACATTTCAAATAACGAATAAGAATTTATGTATGTAGTAATGTTCATACACAAATAGACTTCATCAAACTCAATCAGAAAGCCTTTTACTAATTTGCAAACAACCATCATGATTATTGATGTCAATTAAAGAAGATTACATACTTTATGATACTTTAAGTTAAGATACTTAAGTCCAGATACCCTACATATATAAACTTACATCATGTACTTCCTCAACTGCTTGATATGCTTCTGTAGGAAGACCAAGATCCTTTGGTTTGGCATCGATAATAACCAAAACTGAATTGGGACAGTATCTCCTTATTAGCTCATTAATGGCAACGTCATTTTGATGTAACTTGGGCCCAGTATGATACCAACCCACTACCTTTTCACGAGCTAAGAATATAACAAAGTATAACAATGAAAATTTGTATTTCATCTTATGAAACTTGTACATTGATTGTTCAAAAATTTTTACCATTAACTTTCTTGAACATTCCATACATATTTTCAAGGTAATCATGGTCCAAGAACCACACACTCTTGTCCTTGTCATCCTCATCAAAAGGTACTGAAACGTTAAGGTTTATCTTTTTAGTGCTGCGTGTTAACATTATTATAAATGTAAACATGTAAGTGTGCATGTTTTCGGGAAATAATAAAGTTTCTTTGGGAGAAAGACCTAACCTGCAAAGCTGTTTGATACATCCAAGATACCCTTGGCTCGCCAACAACCCAAAAGTACACCGACTACTCGTTTTTGATTTCCGATTTTTCCCATACGATTAAAGTGGTCCACTACGCTTAACAGCACTAGTGGGTGCACCACAACTTTCGTTGTAACAACCTCTTGACTCGGCATTTTTGGATAAACTCAAATGGACTCAAATGACATACAATGACCTATCTACGTGAACCGCCGCAACTGAGTGTGGTTATTCGAAGATTGCAAGAACGACATGCGTGTAAGTAAAATTTAGAGACTCCCTAGAAGAGATAAGCAAATCTGTTCCCATTTACATGAATACCGAAAAACAGAACTTGCAGAAGAAAGAACAACAAAGAAAGACAGCAAGATAATGCAGAAAATGCAAGTATAAAGAATAGAAAAGCTATTATTGTTAAAAATTATTACATCAAAGTGTATTTTTATTGTAAGTCACTATTATTGTTTCCTAGTAAGTCCCTAGTAAATTGAGTCGGTTTATCCTTTGCGATTTAACGATATTAAGGTGGCAATCATGACTAAGAAATCAATGTTGTCAGTATTGCCGCTTCAGTTTTGTTGGTTAGGAACGTTCGCGAGTTTTGATGTGATTTATTTGCAAAGTAATACATTGTCATAGAGTATCGAAGGTACATCTTATGGTATCCTGTTATTTAAGATATCTCGTGTTTATATTCTTTCGAAACATAATGTATCATAATAAAAATGTGAAATATCGAAATTCACGGTGCGCGTCATCACTAGACTGCTTTCTTTTACTTTTTGTTATTTGAGGCCTTTGTTGGTTGAGGCGAAAAAAGAGCCCTCTGTACCACACTGCACGACATGCTTCCAACACACAAATGTGATGTTTCCGAGTGATGATAACCAGTAGCCATTTTACCTGATGCTCTCTAAGAAAATGCGCGAAATTGAAAAGAAAGAAAGACGCAATTTATTAATTACACTAGATAAAACGTAAAACATTTTGGAAAAGTAAAAATGTATATTTTTTTTACTAATTCTAAAGCATTAAATATAAATAAAAATAAAAATCAATGAATTAAAAGTACATTTAATAATATTAATAATAGTAGTTTAAACTTAAATTTAAGTTTAAACTTTACTGAAACACATCAAACATTTTGTTAGAACAGAGTTTAAACTACTATTGTTAAAAAATAATATTGTAATAAAAATTAATAGTAAACTCTTTTTAAAAAAAAAAATTACAAAAGAAAAATAAAAACAAATTTGCTAGAAAATTACAAAGAATTACAAAGAAACTATTATCTCTGTTAAGAACATTATAGAAAAACTATTATAACACTATTGTAAAAAAATATTGATGCACTATTGGAATTACTATAATATTAATAGAAAATTATTGAAAAGCTGTTTGTATAATTATTAATTGATTATTTTAAAAAATTTTATTTTTACATTTTCTAATTATATAACAGTTTTATATAATAGATAACAGTTCTTATTAAAAAATAGAACTTAATATCTAAAGAATGAAAAATACTATTGGATCATAAATAAATAAGATAATATAAATTATATGTAATATAAATAACATGTAACATAAATATATTTATATATGTAAAATAATTAACATGTAATATTATATTTTTAAATTTTTATCCTTTAAGATGAAAATACTCTACTGAGAATAAAAAACGATATTTCATAAATAGTGGTTAAATGATTTTCTAATAGTATTGTAATAATTCAACAAAATGTGTGTGTGCTCCAATATCTTATAGTAGTGTGTAATAGTTTTATGTTTTTCTATATATAATGTTATATATATATATATATATATATATATATATATATATATATATATATTTTTTAGAAGTTTTTTTTATAATTCTCTAACAGTTCTTTTTTATAGTTTATTTGTAATTTTTTCCGTTCGGGTCTGTATACGCAGGACATATTTGAAAAATTTAATTTTGCAAAGAAACAACGACTTGATTCATGTATACAACTAAAAACACTACAAATTACTAAATTAAATTACTAAAAGATGTCTAAAAAAACATTTAAAAAATACAATGTCTTTTGGATGTCTTTAAAGTATCTTTTAGTACATATTGTGTAATCTAAGGATAAAAGTATTATTTTTTATCGTGAGATAAAATCACATATCTCCGCGTTATTATATTTTAATAACTTTAAAATAGCTAACAAATTATGACTTAGTAGACATAACGTTATAATAATAAATAGATATTCTTCTTATCGTAGATTAGTTATGAAGTAGTTTATTATATTTTGTATTGCAAAGAATACAAGAATGACAGGGTTAATTATTTTTATCAACTTTATGATAAGATAACATCTTGGTTACTTCTATATATCTATAATCGGTTAAATGATGATCAATCATCGCGTGGAAATGGGTTTTACCAGTGATGTAGATTCAGCGACGAGTTTGCATATCGGGAATGCATATGCGTCGCACTTCTCTGAAAGAATACATTCGCTTTTTGTTGCAGATAAAAGGAGAAAGAGAACGAGGAAAGAAAAACAAGAAACCATGTCCAGATCCATAGTGTTCGTAACGGGTAACGCGAAGAAGCTAGAGGAGTTCGTCGCCATATTAGGCAAGAATTTCCCTCAGCAGATCATAAGTAAGAAGATCGACCTGCCGGAGTATCAGGGCGAGATAGACGACATATCTCGTGATAAATGCCGGGCCGCGGCGGAGGTTGTGAAGGGGCCGGTGATCATCGAGGACACCTGTCTTTGCTTCAACGCGCTCAAAGGTCTTCCGGGGCCGTACATTAAGTGGTTCCTCGAGAAGTTGGGTCCCGAGGGTCTCTATAGAATGTTGAATGGATGGCAAGACAAATCGGCGGAGGCGGTATGCACCTTCGCCTATTGCTCCGGCGAAGCTGACGCCAAGGTCCACCTTTTCCAAGGCCGAACTCAGGGCACCATCGTGAGTCCGCGAGGTCCCAGAGACTTCGGCTGGGACCCGTGCTTCCAGCCACTGAACATGGACAAGACTTACGCGGAATTGCCGAAGGAGGAGAAGAACAAAATCTCTCATCGCAGTCAGGCGCTGGAGAAGCTGAAGGATTACTTAATGAATAATCAAAATATTTAACTGATTATATCAATATAATAAAGAGTTATTGGCCTTTTCTCTCAGTTTTCAGTTTATTCTTTGAATTTCTCCTCTTTTGAGAATATATCTAGACGCTTGCTTGCCATAATTTTGAAGAAAAGAGTCGGGAAGAAATCTTCTTTACTTCTAATTCTAACGCGTTCAGACATTTATTTGAAACATTCTTTAAATACAAATAAATTAGGCAATGAATGCAAAACATTAATTTTTTCCATGCAGCGGAACATTTCGATTATTTGGGCAATATAAAATTGTATTTTTCTTTTTTCATGAAAATTAGTTTGTTCTTGCATTACAGGCTCAAGGGAAGGCTTTCATTCTAGGGAATTTTACGAGTGTGCTTTCGATATCATTAGTCCCGTAGCTAACAATTTAATGACGGAGACTGAATTGATCTTTATTATATGGGAAATTTTTAACGACTTACCACAGGTTCAAGAACGTAATTTTACAGTGCGTTTAAATCACACGTCATTGTTACAAGGACATTGATAAAAGGACATTGAAACTCCATACAGCCTGTCCGACAGAGTGCTCTTCTTATCTCCTTCATGTTTTCATAAAAAATATTTTATATTGCCATTTTATCGAGCGATAATTGTCCATTTTCGTTTATATTAAAATTTTAGATAAAATATCAACTTATGTGGAGTTGCCGAGGGAGGAGAAAAACGAAATCTCCCATCGCAGTCGGACGTTGGAAGGATTATTTTACGAAGAACAGAATAATTTAACTTATCGTATCGATGTAATAAGGATACTGGCTTGTCTTTTTCAGTTTAATTGTGCACTTGAAATTATATAAAAATATATTTAGACAATATTAAAACATTTGAAATAAACAACAGTAATAACCAAACTAAAATAACTCTAATCAGGATTATTGACCTTGCTACGATCACATTTATTATCAATTTTTAATCGAGCGGAGTGAGCGTATGTATGCAGTTGTTTTGTCTTCATGTTGTAACTTGTTCTCTGACCTATAATGTTAACGTTTGATATCCGTTCAATTTATCAAAGGTGATTCGCCGTCGAAAATAACGCACGTATTTCAGCGTACAAAACTCGTGGCGATACGTGGTTAGGGTCGCGGCCACGAAACCAACATCTGGAACTATTTGCCGGTCTGCGTCCTTGACATTGACGCGACGTCTTGCGGTTTGCGATCTGATAATGTTAATCTCGACCCATCACGCGAGGAGACCCGCCCTGTACCCCACGATTCTCCGTCCTACGCGGATCTTACGTGATGCAACAAATCGAAATGTGTGACCATCTACATTGTAATCGTCCGGTGGATGATATTGTTAATCGCGCGAATACCGATACCTCTCCGTACGCGAGCACTGGTAATTAAAACTGTAAATCATGCACAATAATAGCACAGCCCCGGCAGAATCATCGCGCCGCTTTCGATTGCTTTTATTAACTAATGGCGCGATTACGCGCGCGCTGTGTAAACAGTGGTCGGGGGAAAAGTAGCACGAAGGGTAATGATAAAACTCGCGAAAAAGGTGCATCGAGGTGATCATGTGATCTGGCGCTGTATCGCCTGTAACATCGGTTAAAAGATTTTTTTTTATTTATTTTATTTTATTTACTTACAAAACGAGCACCCGTAATCGTTATCATTAGATGGAAAGGAAAACGAAGCATGAAATGTAAAGGTAATCTCGTGAAAAAGATGGATTCATGTGATAATGCAATGTTTCTTGACTCTATATTGCCTTGTCGATTAAAGGATTTTCCCTTGTTTTGTTTTATTTATTTATAAATCACACAAATACAATCGTTATTATTAGGTGAAAGGGAAAAGGAAGCAAAGAATGTAAAGATAAGTTGGTGAAAAAGATGGATTCAAGTAATAATATAACGTTTCTTGACTCTGTATTGGCTATGTAACGTCGATTAAAGGATTTTTAATTTATTTTATTTTATCTATTTATAAAGTACACTCACACCCACAATCGTTATCGTTAGATAAAAAGGGGAAAAGAAGTGCGGAAGTGGGCTCGTGGAAAAGATAGATCTCGATGATAATGTAACGTATCTTGACCTTATGTTGCCTATAACGTCGATTAAGAGATTTTTCTATTATTTTATTTTATTAATTTATAAATCAACTACAGTTGTTGTTATTAGATGAAAGGGGAAAAGAAACATGGAAAATATGGATAATGGATCGACAAAATAATGTAAAGCTAATGTAAAGCTATATTGCTGTGTAAAGCTATATTGCCTATAACATTGATTAAAAGATTCTTGTTTAGCTTTATTTATTTTATTTATTTATAAAAAGTTCATCTCTCTCTCTCTCTTTCTCTTTCTCTCTCTCCTTTCGTTATCGACTGCATAAGGAAGAAGGAAAAGGAGGCGTAAAAAATAAAGAACTTGTGAATAAACTTGTGAATAAGATATGTGGATTTTTGTGGTGATAATATAACACTATGTGACGCTATATCGTTTGCAACATATTCTAAAGAATTTTTTTTATTTTACTTTATTTATTTATAAATTTACGATTATTACTGTTGGGTAAAAGGGAAAAGGGGATGCAGAATATAAAAGTAAGTTTATGAAAAACATAGATCCAAGTAGTAACGTTTCTTAACCGTGCATCGTCTGTGACGTCAATTAAATGCTTGTCCCTTTATTTTATTTTATTGATTTATGAAGAGCGCACCTAGTCGTTATTGTCAGAGAAAGAAAAGAAGTCGTAAAAAATAAGGGTAGTCTCATGGAAAAGATGGATTGAAGTGATAATGTAATATTGTGCGACGTTATGTCCTCCGTAATGTCAATTAAAGGATTTTCACTTATTTTAATTAATTTACTCATGAATTGCATGCACTCACAATCGTTATCGTTAGATTAAAGGGAAAAAGAGGAAGTAAGGATAAGCTCGTGAAAAACTTGGATCGAGGAGATAACATAACGCGTCATAACGCTATATCGCTTGTAATATCAATAAATAAATTTTCCCTTTATCTTATTTTATGTTTATTTACAAAGCACGCAATATCTTACATATATATATAATCGTTATCTTTAGACAATTACACCTTGTGAACACGGTGCCGCATGTTTTTAACATGCGGCAATTTTTCTTTTTTGCAAAGAAAGAATCAAAGTTGATGTAATAAAGCTTTGCGATATGCACACACACACAATTAAAAATAAACTATAAAACTGATATCGATAAAAATCGAAAGTTAAGTAGCATTGCTCTCTTTTATGCAATAAAGAAAATATTTTCTTCACAAATATTGAAAATAGTAATATTAGAAGGTATTAATAATTATAGATTGTATTTTTACTTCTCTTGTTTTTTACACACTCTACGACTTAGTGGCGCTCTTATTGGCCAATTATATTATTACTGGTTTCTCCTTTACCGTGTCATGTTTTGCATCGAATCCAAAGACACGCATCCCTTTGCTTTTCTCCGCGACAGCGATGTTACACATCGCGACACAACAGATAAATTTCAGCGCAAAATTGTTGCGATTACGCGAAATCGTCAGTAAACACGCGCGATCGTCTTACGGTTTTCCTCGCCTGTTATCGAGGCGCCAATGATTATTTAATTTATTCAATCGCTCGCATGATGGAAAAATTGCTGATTCGGCTTAAAGTACTCGTACTTACTCGCGCGGTTATCATCGAGTTCGTATAAACGCTCGCGTTTATATAGACATTAAAAAATAGCCAGCTGCAACATAGTTGCAATAAGTCATCGTACTTTGATAAACAAGGAAATCCTTACCCATATAGCACAAATCTCTAAAAGACTTCTTAAAGAGTTCCAAAAGAGTTCCCAAGTCCTTCAGAACACTTTTAGAATTCTTTAAGAAATCTTTTAGAGATTTGTGTTATACGAGTAATCGAAATGTGCTTAATCCTCGTCAATCGTTTTCACCGAAATCGTTGATGCGCATATGCGTTAAATATAAAAAAATAGAAAAGAATATCTTATTATACGTCATTGAAAAAGTTACAATGTATTTTTCTACAGCTTCTCCATTCGCAGATTTAAAGTGTCTCTCTTTATTATCAAATTATTATCACGTGAAGCACAGGAATAATTATAATGGCTGTCATTACATTGAGACGTCATGTACTTCAATAACTGCTTTACAGATTATTTAACGTCGTTAATGTAAACAGATTCTGTCGATACAAGCACTGATTACATAATATAAAGTATTATGTAATCTTATTATGAACAAAAACATTATATATATGATTTATTGTAATATTTTTTATAACTCATTATATATAATAAAACTTATTACATACAAAATAATTATTAAATAGTGATTAGAGTAATTGATACAAAAACAGAGATAAAAATGTCATTCTACTGCTAAAAAGGCGATTACATGATCTTTTTTCTTCTTATTTTCAATAAAAAATATTTTTCTGATGATAGTTCTCAAATATATATATCACAAAAAAGAAGCTCATTATCATGTAATCGAAAAAGAAGAATTTATTTTTTTACGTGAACATTGTAAAACTTCATCAAAGTATAAGTTGCTTCTTGATTATGTGCAGTAAGCAACAAAAATTTGCTTGAATTTAATGTTCTTGATGGAAATATTATACTTACTAAGATCTGAAATATATTTTGAATAGAATTGATGCTCTTATGTATATGTGTATGTGTGATAATGAACTCATGATAGACTCACAGATATATAAACTCATGAAATACTTGAAACAGGTAATATTTATTTGAATGCAGTAGGCATTTATCTGTGCATAACAATATTAAATTCTTCAGATGGCTGTTTTCTCTGTGCGACAATTTCGCCGCGCGTTTACGCGAATTTGCAATGATGTTTTTCCTGATAGTGACTCATGGTCTAAAATTAATGAACGCTCGCCCGCGTGCTCTATGTACTCGCATTAACGTTAGCAAACCTTGTCTTTTCTCTGTCGGGGCTCTCTTTTCTCCTATTCTCTCTTTCTTCCTTTCTTTCTCTCTCTTTACTCTCGGAGTCTCCTTTTCGCTTTCATCCCGGCTATTCACGCCTCATCATCGTCCTCGCGAAGTCGATCTGCTTTGACGAGCGACGCTCTCTTTGCAAAACGCCTCTCATCCGGCTGCACCGGCCCATGTGATTATCTCATGATCTCCGATGCGACGCTCTGTGGATCGCAGTCGCATCTCAGGAACGCTCGACGGTCGAACTCCTCCGGTGCATATCACCGGAAATCGGTTACGCGCAGCGCATACGTGATAAACGCAAATAAGATCTCTGGAAAACACGAATTGAGTGCGTGTCTTGTGGATGCGGAATCGTTAGGAAACACGAAATTATTCCATAATAGGGACCGCGCTTGCGATTGTTCTCACCATGCCGTCGGATACGATCAATTATTTTTAATAATGCACTCGTGCGTTGGTAAACGTTGAAAAGCGCGACAGCCCGGCCGAAGCCAGATGCCCGAAAGGGGTTATCTCTTTTGATTATACCGGTAAAGTCCATCTCCCTTTTCCTCTCTCTACCTCTCCCTCTCTCCTCCTCTCTCTCTTTTCTCTTTCTCTCTCTCTCTCTTTCCTTCATCTCTCTCTCCCTCTCTCTCTGTCTCTCTTTTCCTCTCGCTCTTCCTCCAGTGTGTAACACCCCTGCGTTTCAGGGTTATCGGCTTTTGTCTACATTTTTGCATTTTGCCGACTATTGCAGAGCTTGGTCCTATAAAAGCCACAGTGCCTTGCATTCGCTACCAGTTTTGCTTCAGGGGCCACGCTATGATGAATGTCCTTAACGGTAAGTCACTCAAGCCAGTCTTGCGGATGACGGAAAGTGTTCATTCGCGATTTCTTAATTCTCGAGCGGAGTTCTTGCAAGATATGCTGATCGGTGAAATAATTCCTTCGCTCTCGTTAATTTCCTCGGAGAAGAGAGAGAGAGAGAGAGAGAGAATTGCGTCTCTTCATGAGAGATTTTACGAACGTAGACAAACGACTATCGATCGCATTTCTCAAGTTCCACGCCGAGATGCCTTACATATTTTATTTCTTTACATGCTTTTGCTGAATAACACATTATATAAATTGTTTTCAGTGCTCCTGCTATGCCTAACGGCCGCGTGTGCGGTGCCGGGTAAGTAATGCTCCATTTGAATTTTACATCGAGAACATCGAGAGGGATCTCCCGCGAATTGAGCTTAATAAATGTTTAATGAACAAACTGATATACAATATTAGGTTCAATTTCTGACGCAAATTTTTTAGAAATGACGTCACAGCATCGAAATAATTTATCTAATCGCTCTGTGTTACGCGTCTGTCTCTTTCGATGACATCTAACTCGGAAAATCCATGCGAATGTCAAGGCCAGAAATATTAAGATCGTTTTTCTGAAGAGGCCTTTAATCAATTCTGCTCATCAATCCAGTGCGTCGCGCGTGTATTGCAAGTAGACATCTGTTGCGTGACTATATGCAATACAATAATCATATAACAGAGTACAGAGTTCTCAAAATCAATTGAATGCGAAAATATGCTTGACGTTCCTTACGACTTGTAATGTTTGACAATCGATAGAATGTCGTTTACTATAATTGACAAATAATTCGCGAATCGACAAGCACAGACTAAGAACAGTTAATAGTCGTTATTTGTAATTTGTCGCAGGTGAGATATTCAGATTCTAATTAAAAATTAGATGTGAATTTTTCATTGGAATTGTGATTGCAAATATAAATAATATAAAATAATATAAATAATATATAAGTATATTTTAGTAACTATAATTATAACTTAAGTTATAATTATAGTATTTATAAAAAAATTTAGTTAAGTTATAGTTATTATAAGATTTTCAGATTTTTAGAGTCAGAAGTTCTTCAGTTGAATTATGATGAATATGATATTTATATCTGTAGTCGAAATTTAACTGAAAAACGCTCATCTAACTCTAAATTGATATCTGAGTATCTCACTTGAGACGAGTTTCAAGTAATGACAATTAATACGGGCCTAAATTCAAAACTGTTTAATCTCACGTGGGATAAGTAACGACTATTAATATGGATCTAAAACTCATATTAATAGTTATTGCTTGAAACTTGCCTCAGATGAGTTTCTCAGACTTAAGTATAAAGTTAGTTGTGAATTTTTCAACGGAATTGCAATTGCAAACATAATGCTACATATATAATTTCAATTGAAAACTCTGATCTAATTCTAAATTTAGATCTATTTATCTCGCGTGGAAAAATTTTCAATTAATGACTATTGAAGCCTTAAACATCAGGAGAGATTGAAATCGGTTTACGAGTGGTTATACGCGAAAATATTCTCTTCCAGTGCACTTCCCCGTTGGAAAAACGGTGATTTACAAGTACTACGCCGATGTGAAAGCCGGGATTATTGAGCCAGCGCAATACGCCTCCCAGTTCGCTCTGAACGGACAGCTTCATGTAAAGAAGGACGTCAGCGACCCGACTTTGAGAAATGCCTACTACGTCAAACTACAAGACGTGAAATACGGCATGTACAATGGTATGAGTGTACATCACCAACCGATTGAAGTGCTTCACGAACTCGGCGAGGCCGCGCAGCAGATTCAAGATCCGTTCTTGGTCGTCTACGACAGGAGCGGCAAGGTAAAGACACGACGAATTAATCGTGAGAACTGAGTGTCGTTTATGCATAGAACGTTTGTCACTCGATCGTCTGCCAATTCAGTTCCAGGGCATCAAAGTGCCGGAGACCGAGAGCGGTTGGTCGCGAAACATCAAGCAGGGTATCGCCTCGATGTTGCAGCTGGACTTGTCTCACGTCCAATTGGTAACCCCGATCAAGCCACATGCCTTCGTCACTACTGAGGTAGGTAACGACTGATGGGAACATCCAACGAAACATTTCTAATGTTCTCTTTGGTTGTTACCACTAGAACACCATCCACGGCACCTGCCACGTCGCCTACGATGTTCAGCCGAAAGTCCCGGTGCATCCGGAAACCAGCAACGTCTTCGTGGTCACGAAGTTGCACGACCTTAAGAACTGCAGCCACTTCGTCCAGCGTGTCTTCGACCACGCCGAGTGCGAGAAATGTCATGTGGAGCCAGTGGTAAATTGCAATTATATTGTCTTGTGATGTTGCTCCTCGTATTTCATGTATTTTGCGTTTCGTACATTCTATATTTCTTAAAATATAAAATATCATTCAAAACGCGTGAAAAGTGGCAGTGTCTTCGCTCAAAGTGATAGCGAAAATAATGCCGCTCAAAACCACAAATCTAGTTCACTGGAAGTTAGAATGGATTCTGATATATGAGCGAACGTTTCAATCGATTACAGTGAAGTAATCAGTGAAGAAGAACATTCTTTTGACAGTGAAAAATACGTCCTATTCACTCTACAATTTTTATTCGTTGACTCAGAGTTGTGGATTCGTTTTTTAAGAGTGAGAAATGACTCGAATTCGAGTGATTGGACTGTCACTCTTCTGTTACTTTCTGAGTGAAATTTCTCTCCAAGAAATTTAGAGAGTACACGGAAAAAAGTATTATAACAAAAATCATACAACAAAATGTTGTAATCTTGGACCATACAAAAATTAGAATTAGAATCACTACATATTTGTTGAAAATTATTATGCACGTTTAATTTTTTATTACAAAATCACTTGAACGTTTTTCATATCATACATTTGATAGATCGTAAAATTTATATTACAGAAATTTATCTATGATAATCTATATTATAATTTATGTAAGTATATTCTCCAGTTATATGCAAAAATTTTATTGTAGAATAAAATAGAATCTTAACGTAATTTTTAATATAATATTTTCTGTATGTATTTTCAATGCACGTATTTTCAATTACCGTATCTCTCAACAGGATGACATGAGCACTGCCGCCAGAAGAGTCTTCGAGATTGAGAAACAGGACGACGAAATTCTTATCAAGCACTTGATCGCCCATTCGGTTATCAATTACTTCCCCTACAGCGCTCGATCTGAAGCTCACTATCTCTTGACCAAGTAATTGAATAATGATCATACAACGTAAATTTTCATCTATATAGTCACGTGATATTAATTTCATTTATTAATTTACTTCAGCACTACCTTGACCTTGGACAACACGGTGTCGACAACCGAGACCTATTTGCCGGTTGTAAACTTCCAAAACATACCTCTGATCCGCGACGTTACCTTTAACAAACCCGTGGGAAATTATGCCATCCACGCTGCGGAGGATCTCACTCACGGTCGACATATCGTTAAACTGGACGCGCTTATTCCTAAACTCAAGAAGATGTTGGCCGAAGCTGCCGATTACCTCGAAGAGAATCACCTGGAGGCCAAAGAACCCGATTGGAAGCACGGACAAACCATCAACCGATTGCAACACACCATGAGCTACATGGACCTGGGTTCGTTGGAACAAGTGTTCACTGCTATTCAAGACCCGAAAACACCCAAGGAAGTCACGATGAAGTGAGTGTGATCGTCCCGTAAATCGATAAAGTCGACTATTACACGGAAAAATAGTATGATTAACTCACATACACATCTGGTTGTGCCAATCAGATAGTGAGTAATAGTTGGATTGCTGCAATGTTGTGTTACTGGCGTTGCAACAATGACAATATCTGGTTATTCTAACCAGAATGTATTCATGGTAAACGTCACTCCAACCAATTTCTAGTTGCCACAAACAGATTGCAACTACATTGATGGTGGAAGTATCAAAGTAACTGGAGAGATCATATCAATTAACTAAACAAAGATAACTAGAATAATATAACTATGTTGTTCACAATTAAATATTTCTGGTGTGCACCATATTCTTTTTCTGTGTAATATTGGCCAAGCGAAAGATTAACGATTTGTTATGATTTTCAAGGAATATCTTCTTGCAAATGATCCCGACTGTGGGCACCACTGCCGCCTGTCACTTCACGCGTAACGTTATCCGCAAACACAAGGTCACCGACATGACCGTCATGACGATGCTGGCGAAACTGCCGATGCACGTCAAAGTGCCCTCCGAGAGATTGCTTTTGGAAATGGAAGACTTACTGAAGTTGGACAACGTCGTGTCGCCGCAAGTCCACAAGGCCAGCATTCTCTGCTTCTCTACCTTGATTCACAGGACGTTCATGCACCAATCCGGTGAAACCGTCAACCCGCTGCTCAACAGATACCTTCATCGTTTCTTCGATCATGTCATGAGTAAGTCGAGTGAAGCTCGCGCTACAAGCTCACTCTAACTTCTGAAACTCGCTTTGGCCATGCGCGACCAAAGTTGTAAAAATATCACAATTAAATTCTTCACAGTTTAATAATTGATTTAGACAAAATATTATATTTCAATTATATTTCAATTTACCTAATTTACGGTTGATTCCAGCAAAATTAATTGAAGAATACTTCATTGATGATTAACTTCAAAACGAATTCAATTAAAGATCGCTCAGATGATTCATATGAATTAAAGGAATCAATGATTGTTCAATTAACGATTGAATTTAACAATTTTAATTAAAGGCTGTTTAATTGGCGATTGATATAAGCAAATTCAATCGACTCAATCGAAGAGCATTCGGCTATTTAAAGTTATAATTAGTTTTGTGAATAATATTCATACTCGGAACATCATGGAAGGTGCTGATGATTAAGAACCGCTAAATAGGACTCGCGTTGAAGGAAGCATATCAATTCTCACTAAACAACCTCCGATTAAATCGATTGACTTTGCTCATATTAGTCGTTAATTGAGAAATCTTCAATTAAATTTCCTAAGTTCTATCAAGCAATTTTTAACTAAATTTTCTATGTTCAATTATTAATTTCACGATCTTTATACTGCTATTCTAGATAAAATCGTAAAACTCGTAATTTGTTTTTGTAAGACTCGTAAGAACTTATGAGTAGATCTGCAATTCTATGCAGATCGTATGTCATATGATAACTCGTATATATCTATGATTTTTTTAATTTTTTTCGTAAACTACGACTTTACGATTTATTCGTATATTTGTTTAGAATTGCAACATCAATTTTCTTTGTTTATATCAATCTTTAATTGAATGGTCTTTAATTTAATTCATAGAATTGTCAATCAATCTTTAATTAAATTTATTGAAATTAATTGGCAATTTTAAACGACTTCCAATTAAATTGACTTATATTAATCTCCAATTGCATCATAATAGACTAAAAATATAATTAATTATTTGCAATCTTGACAACAGACGACTACTTATTCCAATATCTCGCAGTTTGCAAACTCAGTTTAGTTGCAGATCGATTTAACGATTTCCCGTTTTCCGCGATATTTCAGGAGAACCGTATGACATGAAAATAGTCTATCTGATGGCAATCAAGAACGTCCAAGTGGGCAACATCGAGAAGCTCTTGGAACCGATCATCCGCGGCGAAGTTACGGTTTCCGAGCACCCGCACCATACCCGCGTGCAGGCGATCTGGGCCATCAAGAAGGCCGTCGCTGATAAAGTCGAGTACACTCACAACCTGCTATGGCCTATCCTTGCCGACGTCACCCAACCGCTTCCTCTCAGGATTATGGCTTATGACGTTCTGATGAGCCAGATGCCAAACATGCAACGAATGATGAACATCTACTGGCTCATGGTCTACGAGCAGAACAATCATCTGTACAACTACCACCTCACCACCCTGAAGGGTCTCGCAAATTCCGTGGACCCATGCCTCACGCCAATCCGCGAAATGGCCAGGAAATTCATGCGCTATACGAGGATCAGGCCGATCACCACCGAACTGTCGTCCAAAGTTTTCTCCGATTACATCGATTCTGTATACGACCACGGCCAATCTTGGACTACCTCGATGGTCTTGCATGAACTGACTGGTTTACCGCACGCCGGATACAGCGAACTTCGTACGACGATCGCTCGCAAACCTGTCGACAAGTTTGGCGTGAGTATTAACAATACGTCAGCTTAACGTGAAATTTTCGACACATGAAATATCAACAATATTTCTCCAAGAAAATATCCAACGTTTCTCTGTCAGTTTTCCATACATTTGGGGAAAAATCACAAAAAAATGAAAGATATTTACCCGGTGAGTATACTAACATCCCTGTTTAAAATGATGAATACAAAACGTTAAAATTATATTACGTTCAATTTGAATTTCAATATAAATCAATCATCATCTTATTGATTCACATTGATTTAGATTATAATTTTAAACTTTAGATTGAAAAGGCTAAACTTTTTGTGTAATGTTATCTTCTTGTAACATTTTAAACAGGGACATTAACACTTAAATCTAAATTCTTTCAGTTAAATAGAGAATAAACAATTGTCTCCGTAAAGAGCTATGTTTTTAAAAGCTATTTTTACGAAATATGTTTTCACTTGAAAAAAATATTTTTTTAGAATTATTAGTACATGTTATTAGTATTTACTGAATAAATATATATATTTTCTAGATTTTTTACTCTCAATATATATGTATGATAAAATTATTATAGAACACGAAAAGATCATACGAGCAGGTCATATTACACTTTAATGGACCTTTTATAGATCTATTGGAGCGCCTATGGCATGGACGAGATTTTGAAGATAGTGAAGAAAGAGTTGATGGGCACCAAGATCGAAAATCTCACCAACAAGAATGTGCTAAACATTCTGAGCCGCGCTGCACTTGACATGCCCAAGAAGAATGCCATTCATGTTGACATCTGCATCACGCGGCACGGCCATGTGACTTTCGCCGGCCACTACGATCAGAATTATATCACTAAGCTGCCTGAGGAACTACTACCCTTCATGAAACAGACCTTCCTCAACTACCAAGACATCATATACGACACTCTCTATGAGATGCAGGTGCCCACCGATATGGGTCTGCAGGCGGTTCTTAGCACCAAGATGCCACACATGTTGTCGTTGAGGTACAACGTTTTGACTGACGTCAATAGTCCTTCCCCGAACAAGAAGATCGAGTTCGACTTCCGTCAGTGGAGACACGGCGAGTACGCCATGTCGATCTACAATCCGATCGCGGACGTTTGGCACTCGATACGCAGGTCCACTACTCAGGACACCGCGTGGCCGTTGGAGATGAACGTCGGTTACAACCACGAGGCGAAGAGTCTCAAGGTCAACATACCGAGATTACCAGTCACCAAGCTGTCCCACAGCGGAATACGACACCACGCGAAGAACCTGGTTACCATCACTGAGGACGAGCAAGACATGCTCAAGAAATGCTGCTCTACCTGCCATCATCACATGATTGTTACTACCGGTGAGAAGAAGAACTATCACTCTACTGTGGACTCTAAAGATACTGGTCTCAAGTACAGCATGTCGATCTTCGATTGCGACAGCAATATCACGCCAGTTACCAATGCTGAAGAATGGCAACGTGCATTTTCTCCAGAGCACAAGAACACTTGGTAAGTCGATGGTGTCGAGTTATATGACATTCCACTCATGTCAGTATTAATTAATCTGATCTTCCTTTTCGCACCTACATTATGAGAGAAAAAATATTTATAAAAATAAAAAATATTTATTTGGTGAGTGCTATAACGACATTTTTACTTACACTAATATAAAATATTATCGAAATAAGGAAATATATATTTTCTAAAAGCCTTAAGAAAAACTTTAACTTTTCATGAAAGCAACTGTTTATTCTATTTAAATGAAAAATTCGATTTAAATAAAAGAATTTAGATTAAAGTAAATATATGTTATTTTAATACTCACCAAATCAATATTTACTATTTTTTTTTATGTATTTTTTTCAATATATTAGGTTGATTCCGAAGTCTTTTCTATGCTTAAAAGATTTGATAGAATTGCATAAGAAAATCTATGAATTACATAAGAAAAATCTGAATCATGTTTTTGATAAAAAATAGTAAAATTATGTAGAAAGGCATGCGTATTCAGATAAATATTTAATCGTTAAAAGTAATTTTTTACAATATAAAATAAAAGAAATTGATAACTTCTTTATATATGAGCTAAAATATAAAAACTTGAGTTTCTGATTAGAAATATTAGAAATATTTCTATTAAACTATATCAAATTTCTTAAACAGTGAAAACAATAAAATCTGTACATTTCTATTACAATTCTTATCGGATTATTTTTCAAAATTTTTTTATACGAGCTAAAAAAATGAGAAAAAAATTGAAATTTTCAATAGAAATAATAAGTTCAGATAAAGTTCAGGTAGTATTTCAATGAAACTTGTATATATTTCTATCAAATCTTGCAGAATTTTTTATAAGCAAAGTTTTCACTATAAAATACACATTTTATTTGTTGACATTTTATTTGTTTCTATTTGAAAAATCTTTTATTCATGTCAACTTGTTCAGTATTTATGAGGAAAGATTTTTTCATCAATTTATTAAAATATATGTTGTAAATTAAAATACAAATCGGAAATACCTAATTGTTCGATTAATTTCTATACTTCTTTGTGTAACAACAAACTCTCATAAATCTGGGTGAAAAACTAGTCAAAACATATAATACGCACACAACTCGCTCGTATCATATTTCATTTTGTATAAATATTTGATTTCATGTACATATAAATCTCATACTTTCACTTGCTTGTCAGGAACTCGAAGATAATGCAATACTACATGGGAATCAATCAGAAATTGACCAACGACTATATTTCGCCAGAAATGGGAAGCTGCGGACGTTTGATAAAGATGGAACCCAGCATTGTCTATCCTACGTCGCATGTAAGTACTCAAAGATTCCGATCAACGAGAAATAATTTCTATTTCTTTAATTTCTTGGGTCTTTCTTTTTATAGGTCGATTTGACCCTACGAGTTAACATGGACGACGTCGATCACGTTAACGATAAGATGCACATTCTCAGCGGCAAGAAGATTAACATTCGCGGCACCCTCGACGCTAAAGCAGCTTCCACGAACGAGTCTGTACGCTCATGGGACATGAACGTGAATGTCGACATGTCTCAAGGACATTTAGCCAACAATGTCAGAGTCCAAGTGACGCGTTTGACGCCAGGAGAGAAGAAACTGAAGGTACGTCTGATAATTTTGGCTTAATTGCGATAGCCAAACGATCAACGGCGAGACTGTGGACGAAAACGTTCATAAAGAATACAATCGCTCCTTCATTTTCAGATCTGCGTAGACGTCCAGAAGAATTATCCAGAGACGGAAAATCTCCCCTATCCGAAAATCACCAACAGCAAGGTGGAGACTAACACGAAGATGACTATCAGCGCAGGCTATACGGACGAGGACAAATGCGTCCGCGATGAGATGCTGATCACCATGACCATGAAAGGCGAGATGTCAGAGCAACAGAAGAGCGAAATGGCGCACGATCACGTGCACGGAGCTTGCGTCAAAGACATAGAAAACCAGTTGTTCGTAGAGAAGGAAAATCATGTTCCCAAAACCATGAACTGCATCCGCGAGACCATGTTGTACACGACCATGAGGAAATACACCATCAACGTATCCTATAAGAAGGTAAAAACGAAAAGAATGAAAAAGAGACGATGAGTGGTGAACCTCGATGCCCACGACGTCGTGTTATTACGTTTTCCAATTATCATGTTAATGTTCACATACTTCGAAAAATGTATGCTGCATTCGAATATCTAGACAGCATAAATGTTTGAAATCTTAGAGACGTCTGAACGATATCTTACTTATTTTAAATGTTTTTAGGATAATGTCTCTAAGACGTATTTTCGATATTCGTGATGTTGAATAAGTATTACTTGTTTCAAATATTTCATAAGTTTATGTATCTGCAAATTTATCACACAAGTTCATTCTAAGCATCGAATTTACTCAAAATACATTTTGATTCCTAGTAAATTTCATTCAGAAATATTAAGTTAAAATCAAAATTCTGTTTGTTTATCGCATAGAGTCGAGCCAGCATTTTTCTTCGATAAAGTTTTACAATATTCTTATAAAATATACAATATTCTTATTATCAAGAAAATATTCTTTGTTAAATTTTTTCAGCTTTCTTCATTGAAAATAATCATAAAAAGAAACACAGTAAACTGAGCAAACAGCAACAGAATGGTATTTTTCTATGTTCATCGCGAAAATGACTTCTTCCAGGTGCCCGTGTCCATGCACTCGCAACTCTCCATGATCGACGATCATTTCCGCGCTACGCACTTGCCGCACGTGAAATACCTTAACGAACGCGTCGAAGGCGGCAATGCGAAGATCGTGATCGAGCTCCCCTCTGATCTGAACTACATCAATGCAACCGTCATCACTCCGGTCAATGGATACGAATACATCGAGATTCCGATGCATCAACACCTCTTCGAGGGCATGATCATGGGGAAACCGACGCCGCATTCGGGGTGGCACGCCGCCATGGACAACACTCATATTTCTATATCCACTTTGAGCAAAGTAACGCAAAGACTTACCAGTAAGTTGTTATCGGATGTAAACAATTTTCTTTTTGTGAATGTGATTATTAGATTAAATTCTTAGATTAAATTCTTTTCCTTTTTATCGCTCGTATGAATGTTTTCATCTTGAAAAAAATAGATGTATTTTATGTTTTCTATAATCGGAGATTCTCTTACTAATGTGATTTTTCAGAGATTTTCGATAAAAGAGAGATTATTTTATCATCCTGCAAATAATCTTGCGTATATTTCATTTTTTACACAAAGAAAATACTGTAATAAAAATTACATCTTTTTTTACAGTGCTTTTTGTAAAAAATATTAGACTATACTGAAATTACTATAGAAATAATAAATTTGGCGATCTATCTGATATGTATTATAAAAAGCGAGTAACTGAAATAATTTTGTAGTAAAAAGTCAAACACGTAATAATTTTGCTCATAATTTTGTATGACCCAAAATTACAAACTTAGATTACAAAATTTAGTTTTAAATTTCAAATAACTAAAATAACTAAATATATTCTCCGCATATAATCAAACATTTTTATTTTCTACAATTTTATTTATGTTCTATAATCATTTAATTTTCTAAAATTAGATCAGTAGAATTGATCAACAGTGTTTTAACCGGAATAAAACTTTTTGATTCAATAGCAATGTTATTGAAAATAATTCTCAAGTTTTCAAAACAAATCCATCGAATTTTGAGTATTAGTTTCTATAACATTGCTATTGAGTCAAAAAGATTTATTCCAGTTATGGCGTTGTTCTATTGACTCAACAAAATTTTTTCCGTGTACAATCAGACATTATTTTTCATCGAGAATCTCTGATTTTTTAAAATATGGGTGAGATTCATTTCTCTGAGCGTGTCTTCTTCTCGCAGAGATCTGCACCGTCTACCCGCAAGTCTTGATCACCTTGGACAACGGCGTGATTCCATTCACGGTGCCCGACCAATGGACCCTCGTGTCCGGTGATCATGTCGACCAGACGTACGCTGTCTTCGCGAAGGCCGTGCAAGGTAACATGATCGCCGTGAAGGTCTATATTGCCGGTCACGAGATGGAGATTATGCCGACCGGCCCGAATTACGTCGTCACCGTCGACGGCAACGTAATCGATCAGTACGAGAAGGGTGTGATGGTGCCAGAGGACGAGCCGAAATCTTATGCGTTCAAGTGAGTATTTCGCGAATCATTCATTGATCCATCAATTGACTTGTTTAATGTCAGTCCCAGCGGTTCGAGTAGAAAGAGCGATCTCTTTCTAACCAGTAATTGGCCAAGAATTTTGCTGGTTAGTTTCTAGCCAAGTTAGACAACGTTTACTCCGCCAATACCTAGACAATAAAACTAATTAATCTCTGACTAATTTCTAATCAAATATTTTATTTGTACAAAATTCCATTGTTTGATTCTACATGTACATTGTAAAAAATATTACATCTCATTATTCAATATAAAAATAATGTGAAACTCGTATTTCAGAAGATAGAATATTTTCATGTGCAAATTCATTCGTTATTGAAAAATGGTGGTAACTTTATTTTTAATTACCATTTTCTTTTGCCTAATTTTTGACCAGTAACTGGTCAAGAAACAGTTTTAATCAGTATTTACTTGACAGAGAAATTGCTCAGCATTTACCATTTTTATTGCCTAGTTTTCTAGTCAACAAACACTTATCAATTTCTGGCTAAGGACTAGTTTTTCTTGAAAATTATCTTACTTGTATCATCTAACCAAATGTATCTTTTCATAGACTTGCTATACACAACGAACATTTCGTGATTCACTCGCAACGCGTGCCGGTGATGGTATTATGGGCTCCCAACAGCGTGAGCGTGATGGTAGAGACCGCGCTGCAGGGTCGCGTGACTGGCGTGTGTGGACACATGGACGATATGCACAAAGAGAGGATGCCCAAGGTCTACTCTGTCGAGCATCTTTAAGCCCTAATTTGATTAGCACAGAGGATCTGTACTCTCTTTAGAGTTAAATTCGACGTATACTACAATTTTTCTAAGCTTATTGACGTAACTCCCACAAGAAACCTTTACTGGATAACTTTAAATGCAGCTAACAAATGGCAATGTAGAAGAAGTAGAAAGAGAAATAACGCACAATAAATTTTATTTTTCAATTTACATGCATGAATTTTCTTCCCTTTGACCTACAAAACGTTTCAGGATCCTCGATAACGGCTAATTGTTCAATTCTTTTTTTTTTATGCATAAAACAATACAGGCGCGTGTTAACTGAAAGAATAGCTAAAAAATAAAAAAATATTTATTTGCTAGGTATTAATACAACATAATTATAATTATATAATTATAAACATATTAATAAACATATTTATTTATGCTAATATAAAATATTTTTCTAAGAAAATATATATGTTTTTTTTATTTTAAGAAAATCTTAACTTTTTATAAAAAAACAATTACTTATTCTATTTAAATAAAACATTTTAATTTTAAATAAATATGTTATATATATATATTAGTACCTATCTTTTATCTTATATCTTTTCTCTTTTTATGTATACACGCGTGCGCCATTTAACTAGATATATTATTAATATACATATTAACTTTTTACACACACACACACACACACATATATATGTATATATATATATATATATATATATATATATATATTATTTTGTTGAAATATATAATCTATAAATAGAAAATTTTACATATATTATAGTGATACGCCAACGTTGTCCCACACTGAAAAAACTACTTAAAAATTTATTTGTAAAATGTGAAATTTAGTCAAAGAAATAAACTTTATATTTCAAATAAATTTTCAAGTATTTTTCTCAATTATACACTGACCCATATAGCACAAATCTCTAAAAGACTTCTTAAAGAGTTCCAAAAGAGTTCCCAAGTCTTCCAGAACACTTTTAGAATTCTTTAAGAAGTCTTTTACAGATTTGTGCTATATGGAGAGAGAATATTTATATTCTGAAGAAGATATATTGCCAGTACAATCTCTGAATACTAGAAATGTGCCAATATTTCTATTTCGTGTTTTTCGTGTATTTCATGTGTTTCAATACATAAACACATACACATATATAGAGTGTCTCGTCACTACCTCATTATCTCTTAAGGGCAGATTCCTGAAGTAATTTGAATAAGAAAATCCTAATATAAAAATGGCGAAATGGATATATTTATAGATTATAATATTTTTCAAATTATAAACGATTAAAGTTAACCAATTATATTGGCTAAAGTACGTGCGCTCAGGTACGGTACAACACGCAATGGTACAGGTGCATGCACATAAGTGAGAATTTGCAGAAGATATGAAATTAGTTATAAATCCTTGAAAGAAACGTCAAATGTGTGACGTCAAATCAGTAAGCACTGATTCTCATAAATGTATTGTGTGATATTTTATTCATAACATTTTGACGAGATTGTTATTATTTGCGATATGTTTATTTAAATGATAGAAAAGGCAGATTATTATTACATATATTGTTGTATCCCTTATAGAAATATCATACTAAGAATCATTGATAATTACTTATTATCCGTATTAAAAATACTGGATAATAAGTAATTATCAATGATTCTTAGTATGATATTTCTATAAGGGATGTATAGAATTTCTGTATCAATATTTGGAAAAGGGACGAGATGTGTATATTTATGGTTAATCGTTTATAATTTGAAAAGTATTATAACCTCGACATTTTTGCATTAGGGTTTTTTTCTTCAAATTATCTCAGGAATCCATCCTTAAGAGATAATACGGTAGTGGCGGGACACTCTGTATAATACATACAGTTGAGTAACAACACACACATATTTTTACTTTATTATCATATTTTATAGTTTGTCTGTTTTATTTTATATTATTGTTGATTTTTAAACTTTTATGTTTGGATCATAACGAAACTTTACAAATATTTGAATATTTAAAGTATATGTACATAAATATAAAGATTTTCAACATTATTTTTTATTTGTATATTTTTCTTTTATTAAAGATAAAGATAATATCATATATTCATATAACAGCGTGATTTAAAATACTTCCAAATAACAGGATGACTTTAGATAACGAGTAATTGATATTAAAGACGATTAATGCGTCATTAAAACGTTATTTGACGTCATCGTGTTTGCTTATACTTCAAAGTGAAATAACTTTTAATCCAAATTCCAAATAAACATCAAATTGTTTTGCAATTATTTGCAGATGCAATACAGATTAATCTTTAAATTTTCAAGATTTCTTATTTTTCAGATATGGGCAATACACCTTTAACGTATAAACGCGTAACCTTCACGATAACCGCGAGACGAAATAAGCATAAATTCGACTCGCGTCAAGATAGAGATTTCAAAATAGTCAATCAGCATTGCGGAAAAGGCGACAGTGGAATTTACATGTTTTCTTTTAGACACAGTAACGGACACCGTGACGAAATATCGTCAGTAAGTCGCTGTTTCACCTCAAGTATTAATACTTTTGACACGCTGAAAGAGAGAATCTTTTTTCGGTAATTATCAATGTAACACATTACGCTGATACACATATAAAATGTTATTAATACAATATTTACGTGGTATTGCGGGTCGGGAATCGACAAGATAACGAGTGCATTTGCAAAATATTATGTCACAGCGATATTGACTTCATCTTTTGTTAAGTTTATCGAGGCCATGTGACTGTCAATGAGTGTGTTAATCTAATTAAAGATATTTTTTTATCACTATTTTTCACGTCAGATATAATGTCGGATACGCTTTGATATTCAACATTGCGTGTTGAAACAGTTTATCGGTGTCAAAATACCATCAATAAGTATTGATTATTTAAAAAACAATTCTTTTATGTTCATCACAGGGATCAGTGCATAAAATCAGGAGAGTAACAAGTCGCCTCCGTGGCGCAATCGGCTAGCGCGTTCGGCTGTTAACCGAAAGGTTGGTGGTTCGAGCCCACCCGGGGGCGGGTTTATTTTTTTTTGTTCATTTATTGTGTCAACTGCAGTAACGACAAAGTTGTCTCCGTCACAATATTTTCAACGATGACCTTGTGCGAGCACGAATGTAAAATTCGGCTAACATCCAACATGTATCTCATCGAGCAACAGTAATTGGCGAATGCTTCAGAAAACGTTGATCGGCATTTTGCGAGGTTTTAATAATTGCGCGTTGAATTTATAAAACGAACATGATTGTGACAATGTATAATACACTTGCTCATCTGCAATATAATTTAATTGTATGCCTACGAATAGCTTTAGAGTCGTCAATCACCGCTTTTAAAACCGCCGCGCGAAGCGGTTCCACTCCAGACTACCGTAGCGTCTTCGTCGGCTCCATTTTCTTCTTATCACCGGAGCCACGCGTGAACGCTGCACGAGGAGAGAAAACGATTATTTCAATCCTGAAGCCACGATTCATTACGTAAGTGTCGATTGTCCCGTTGTGAGAACCTGCAATAATTATTAGCCGTAGTTTTATCTTACGACAGTACGTAGTGAGAAAGTAATATCGTGTTAACGATATTAAATTAGCGTCATAAATGTCCGGGTCCACCGGTTGACCTGTAGATATTTAATTAAAAAAGAAATACATTATAATATACAATTATAGAGCGTTCAATCAAAACCTATTATTATATATTGTTCCTCAGTTTCATCGAAGACTTTGTGAATGAGTGATGAAATCAGTTTTCTAACAAATTTTAGGTTAGGACGGTGTCACGACTATTAGGAAATGATTGACTACATTTCAGCAGAGAAAGCTGCTTTGCAAAATTCGTGAAACTAATTGGTACATGTTCTTAACCTTGTCTGAATCTAACAGCATACATTAATCAGATTCTTGAATCTTACAACAGTAGCAAAGCAACTTTCTCTGCTGAATGCTGCCTTTGCGATGCTGTTGCATGTAATTACATCATCTATTGTGTTACTCAACGTGCATTGTCTTGTGTTTTACAGCTAACACACATTTAGACATGGCAGCCCAACTTTTTAATCGAATAAGTCAATTTGGCATAGGTTTAGCTGTCGCAGGTGGTGTTGTTAACTCTGCGCTATATAACGGTGAGTCTGACATCTCTTCTATACTTAATAGTTGACTTTAAATTACATCTTCCTATTAAATATACATACTCTGACAGTCTTTTTTCTTTACAGTTGATGGAGGACACAGAGCTGTTATATTCGATAGATTTGCTGGTATAAAAAATTTTGTGGTTGGAGAAGGAACACACTTTTTTATTCCTTGGGTGCAAAAGCCAATTATCTTTGACATCCGTTCACGTCCACGAAACGTCCCTGTCATTACAGGGAGCAAGGATTTACAAAATGTAAATATTACTCTCCGTATCCTCTTCAGACCTGTGCCAGATTCGTTACCTAAGATATACACAATCCTTGGTGTGGATTACGATGAAAGGGTATTGCCATCTATCACTACTGAAGTGCTAAAAGCTGTTGTTGCACAATTTGATGCTGGTGAATTAATTACGCAAAGAGAAGTTGTATCTCAAAAAGTCAGCGAAGACTTGACTGACAGAGCTTCCCAGTTTGGCCTCATTCTAGATGATATTTCTATTGTAAGTGCATATTGATATTACATTTATTATATAACATGCATTATAATATATATCCTCTATTTCGTATACATATATACATATACATATATATATATTTTTTTATGTATTTATTTATTTATTATATTCATTATAATATATAGTATGAGTCTATGTATATATAAAACTATTGCTACTTTGAATATTTTCAGAAAAAGTTGATCTTAAAACCTAACCTATAATATGCTCTTTCATTCTTGTTTCTTTCTCTTTATCTTTCTTTGAATTAAACTTTAAGCCTTTAGCCAGAAAAAAATAGAGAATAAGAAACAAGAAGCAAAGAGCACATTGTAGATCAGACTTAAAATCTTTGAACTACCTTTCTTAGGAAAAAAGTGTAACCAAAAGAAATTTGGCTTCTAAGTGAAATAGCTTTGAAGATGAAAGTCATCTTTGTCTCTTGCTTCGAAGATATTCAAGGAGTAACAGTTACAGACTCACTTTGTATATATTATAATATAAGGCGAGTTTTTTAATTCATTGATGGATCCATCGCATGATGTGTAAATACACCGAAACATTGCATTTGCGCATCATGCGATGGATTCATCAATAAATTAAAAAACTCGACCATATATTCTATTATATATGTACACACACATACACACACACACACATATAAATTACATTGATTATAATATGTAACATAATATCCTGAATATACCCTGAGTAAGTTGTGCATACTTTGACAATTGATTTTGAAATTCTTTCAGACACATTTGACGTTTGGCAAAGAATTTACCCAAGCTGTAGAGTTGAAGCAAGTAGCTCAACAAGATGCAGAGAAGGCTCGTTTCTTGGTAGAAAAGGCCGAGCAACAGAAGAAAGCAGCTATTATCAGTGCCGAAGGTGACGCACAGGCTGCGAGTTTATTAGCAAAGTCTCTCGCTGAGGCGGGAGAAGGTCTCGTCGAGCTCAGGAGAATCGAAGCCGCGGAGGATATTGCGCACAACTTATCTAAATCGCGGCAAGTGGCGTACTTACCGTCAGGCCAAAATGTGCTGCTTAATTTGCCGCAGTAAGATAAACAACTGGTACAATGTGTTTGTTAATTATGCATTTATGAAGAGTATGAAGCTGTAATAGAATATAAAAAAGGTATATGGCAGAAATTTTCTCAAAAGTGTTGCGTAGCAGGAATATATAGTATTTCATAACATTTACGTTTTCAGCCATGAATCTGCTTCCTTTAAAAAAAAATGCATATGGTCCTATTCCCTTTAGCTATTGGTGGTGCTCTTCAACATTAAATAATTGTTTAATTCTCAGTGCTTGATATATATCATTAATACTAGGTGCAATATACTTCTCAATGATACTAAATCAACGACAAGTTTAATGCAATGCAAACTGAATGGGAACAATAAATCGATGCCTTTTATACAGTTATATATAAGATCTATCAGTTTCATTATGTACTGACGTCGCGAAATTACTATCCACTTCAAACTAAATCTATGTTTTGAACGTTTTATTTATATTATTTCAGTTAGATAGTTGCATGGCAGAGAGCAGAAATATACCTATTAATACCTATAATACCTATTAATTCTACGTAAAGATGCAGAAGGGTCATTTTTACGATTGTATCTAATTTTTGTCATTGTTTCCCTTGTAGTCAATCTTATATTATTGATTTAAACATAGGAACATTATGCGGCTCTTACGAGTACGAGTAGACATTACACTTATATTATCTCATTCGTCCTGATCAATTCCTAGTAGAATATTGCAATGATTCACATGTTTAGTAGCACGTTGTTGAAATGAAATGGAGAGACTAATTTTCTGTTGCTAAATTAAACTCGACATTGTAATTTTTAAATGTGTGATAAGGAGAAAGTTCTCAGGTAGAAAGATAATCTGGCTCGTTCGTTCCGGACAAGCTTTTCGGATGAACGGTCCGATGAACTGCCATGATCAATCGAGGAAGTCGAAATTGGTGGAAGATTATCTCGGTCGGGGTGCCTGCGTCTCGCCTCTGTCGGCACAGACTGTTAATAGAGAAAACAATTCATCATAATTTGGCGAGCACCGCGGGGCGCCCGGTGTACCTTGGTGGTCCGCGGTAAAAATATAAAATATACATGGTGATGTTGGTTGTACTTACACGTGTTCCGGTTACCGGGTTATCGATTAATATCCCGACAGATTCATTACAGATCTACCAGGACAGCGGATAATTAACGAGCGCGCTTCTCTTGTCTTTTTTTGGGATTCTACTTGATGCTTTTCGATTTTTTGTAAACGATCATTTTTTAAAAGTATATCATTTTACAATATTTTATTTCAGATGTAAAGTAATTTTGAAACTAATTTGTATTAAATTGTGTTAAATTCTGATTTAGACATATATATATATATATATATATATATATATATATATATATATATATATATTTATTTATTTATTTATTTATATTTATATACTATATACATATTTGACAGAAAAATGTAGATCTGGCTCCAAAAATAAATGAAGCTGCAGCTAGCCTATGAAAGCCAACTATTGTGTACGCATGTTTTTATTTAAAAATTCTCAAACAGAATGTTAACACATTTGAAGATTAAATTTTCGAGCAAAATGTTAACACGTATAAATATGTTAGCGTTTTGTTTAAGAAAGAGTTAACATTCCAACTTTTTTTTAATAAGTTGTAACGCGCTCTCATACACAATAGTGATTTACTTTCACACAGAAGGTTCAGGTATCAACTTTATTTCAGCACAAAATCTCATACGATTTCATCAAATCCGAGAACACCGGACGCATATCATCCACCCAGCACGTGCCATTGCTTCACGGTTGCACCGCATCATAATAATATAATATAATTTCCGCAAAGTTCACTCTCTCCCTCCTTTCTCCCCTGCTTCTCCGGGATAGAGAGAAGCAAGTGAGGTCAAGAGAGGAAGAGAGAGAGAGAGAGAGAGAGAGAGAGAGAGAGAGAAACAGGATGAGAGAGCACCAAGGAGGGTTTGCGGTGGCAGCAGCACGAGGCGAAAGCAGATTAGCGTGAATAATGAAGACACGACCCCGTGAAAGCCTAAGCGGGCCTCCTTAAGTCTGTTCCTTCGAGTAGAAGCCGAAGCCGGAAAGGAGGAAGGAGGGGGGAAATGCTGGGAGGGAGGTGAAGCGGACAGAAAGGAGGTAGAAGCAGTTAATTACTCCTCCCATCCACGGGATAACGACTTCCCCTTATTTGTCGAGAGGCGCAAACAGCCAACCCTCTGCGAAATCCCTTGCCAAGACGCTTTCTCCAGTGTATATACATACATTTGGCTTCATATGTATATACATATGCATATATATATATATAAATATATGTACATGCGCGCGCGTGTATACACGTGTATAAACTCCGTGTATACGCACATATATATGTATACTCGTATAAGGTAGAGGCACGACGAAGGACTCTGTCCATCTTGGAGCTCCGGCATCGTGTCGACCGACCGCTTGTCTCGATCGATCGATCGATCGATCGATCGGAATTCTCAAAGTAAGCCCGACTGCTGCCTCGTTATGTCGCGCATGAAGCTGCAACTGCTCCAAGATGGATCAAATGTGGGGCACCGTTAAGACGATTGCAGAGACGCAGAACGTTTCGCGAGGTAGACGTTACGCCCAAATGATTTCAACCCTGATAGACTTATATGTCGCGCTTTAGCATCCAAACGTTGTACAGCACGAGCGCGAGATGATTCGTAGTGTCAGTTAATAAGTATAAAAAAATATTATTGAGAATATGTTGTATTAAGTTATTATTGATTATTATTGATTTTATTGTTAATTATTATGATTTTAAGTGTCAATTAATATAAAACTGATTAGCGCGTGGTAGCTATGAATTTCTCATAATTTCATAACAGAAAGCAATGTTTTCTGGATTAATCAATTAGAGTAATTAACAGCGACGAGAAACGTGTAGCTACAAACGAATATGACCGGTCGAAAATTTTTAGCAACTATCGACTTATCGAATAGTAAGATGTCCGCGGATTCTAAGTATACAGAGAATGTAGAAGCGCGACTATGTTCACGTCGTACCGCGTACGACATCACTTACGCCATCATCTTCGATCTTTCTGCGTCGAACAGCCGCCATTGATACATCGATCGACATCACTCCGCGCTTTATGCGTCTTTTGTCCGTTAAAAGTGAGTTTCGTGCGGAAATAAGTATCGAGAGTGTCGTAAATAGCAATGTGCGATCGTTGGGGCGTATCGTGAGTACGTTATTAAGGAGTAATTTCCTCGTTTCTCATACATGCAATCGGTGCATGTCGAGTCGGCGTCTCTTAGGCTTGTATTAACAGTTGTTACTTGAATCTCGTCTCAAGTGAGAGATACTCAGATTCGATTTCAGAGTTAGATGAGAGTTTTTCAGTTGAATCGCGATTACAGATCTAAATATCATAATCCAACTAAAAAACTTGGATCAGCTTTATTTAAGAATCTGAATATCTCACATGGATAAAAATGTTGTGTCAATAAAATCCAACATCGCCGTAATTGGAGTAAATCTTGATTCAATGCTATTGAAACTAATACTTGAGTCATCGAGACAATATATTATGTATTGGTTTCAATGGTATATCGCTGTTGAATCAGGAAAATTTACTTTAATTACGACGATACTGGCAATTTCTATTGATACAACAGCATTTTTTTCGTGCATATGAAACAAGTTTCAGATGACAACTATTAATATGGAGCTTAGATCTATATTAATAATTGCTATTTGAAATTTGTCCTAAGTAAAATACTCGAATCTAAATTTAAAGTTGGATTTGAGTTTTTTATTTGAATCACATATGCCACAAAGCATTTGTAGTCATGATTTAGATGGAAAACTTGCACTCAACTTTAAAAAAATCTGTATATCTCACATGAGACAAGTTTCAGGTAATAAATAACTATTAATAAGGATCTTAGACCTGTGTTAATAGTTGCTATTTGAAACCTGCTTCAGATGAGATATTCAAATTTTTACTTAGAGTTAGATATGAATTTTCAGCTGAGTTGCGATTACAAATGTAACATGTTGCATATATTATGTATATTTCAATGATAAAGATCCCAAATCTAACTTTAAATTAAGATCTGAGTCTTCACGTAGGACAAGCTTCAAATAAGGACTATTATAATATAGACTCTACTTGTTCAAATAAGGACTATTGTAATACGGACTTCACTTGTTATTATCTCATCGACTCATTCAAGTAGTAGTAAAATCTGACGATCGTCAGATTTATTATTCGAGAATTAGATACGCGATGACAATCAGAGAGAAATAGAAATAGATTTAAATGACGTCAGCGAGATCTTGGTGTATAAGCGAGCATACCTGATGATATCTATTCTCAATTTTTTCTCTAAAATTTACTCAGGCGATTTCCATTCTTCTCCAAAGGTTCATTCCGCGCGGACAAGGCGAGGCGCGCAAACTCACATCGTCGACCGCCGTTGAGCCTCGCTCGTAAGAAAGTCGAGGAGGGCCCATCGACAGCTATGCCGGAGGACGATACGGTGGTAGCACATGTTGCACCGGGGCCGCGCATGCAACGAAACAAATGTTAGGTACGCCCGAATACACGTATACGCGGAACGCGGGAGCGAGAGAGAGAGACTAATTACGAAAGAAATCATAATAGGCACACATGCACCGCGGGCTGTCGGGCTAACGATCGGGCTTCCTCCGCATCTGCACCTGTTACCTCGTGGATCCTATGGTCGCGCCGATGCACGCGAGCCGCATATGCCGACGGCCTTCCTCCGAGACAAACCGCCCGAGGCTGTCCCGGTCCTTTTCCCCGACTCCCATAGATCCCGCATCCAGAAGGGTGAGTTTTTATCCCGACTTACTCCTCGCGTCTTAAAGCCTAATCTATAATGTGCTCTTTGCATCTTATTTCTCCTGCCTTTCGTTTTTTGTTTCTTGTCTTCTTATTGTCGCCTAGAATTAAGAATATCGTCGTGTACAATTTGTTCTCTTTGAGGAAAAGTATCATGAATTTTCAGCTGAATTGTGATTACAAATATAACACGTTGCATATATTATGTGTATTTCAATGATAAAGATCCCAAATCTAACTTTAAATTCAGATCTGAGTTTTCACGTAGGACAAGCTTCAAATAAGGACTATTATAATATAGACTCTACTTGTTCAAATAAGGACTATTGTAATACGGACTTCACTTGTTATTATCTCATCGACTCATTCAAGTAGTAGTCCAAAGTATTCACTTTGGACCAATCGATCGTTTTGATTAGATGACAGACTGACCAACTTCATTTAATCTTAATAATTTTATGGTGTCACTTGTGATTCTTGTTATTGTCGAAATAAAAATTAATTAAAACAAAATCTACAATGTGCTCTTTACTTTCTGTTTCTTGTTCTCTAGCTTCAGACTTAAAGTTTGAGTCAGAGAGAGATAAAGAGAAAGAAAAAGGAAGCAAAGAATATATTATAGATTATATTTAACTCCAAAAGAGACAAGAGACAAAAAACATAATCGTCGGTAAAACAGTATATCGAGAAGCAAAGACGTAAGAAATAAAAAGCAGAAAACAGAAAACAAAGAGCATATTGTAGATTAGACTTCGGACTCCTGGTGCTACTGCTGCAGAAACCTGGATTGATGACGTCAGAAGCGAGACAACGCACGCCAAAGGTTCTCGCGTGCCATTCTCAGATGAAGAAATATTTGTATGAAAGAACACTTCAGATATCCCTTAAACATACTTGTGAAAACACTATCCTTTCTTCTTTCCTTGATAAATAGCTTTGAAATTAACGTGACATACAATTTCTTCCTCATTAACTTACCTTTCCTCATCATTTTGTCAGGTTAATTTTAAGACTGTTTATTAGCTGTCAATAGAAGAAAACAGTTTCTTGAATATTTTACGTATGCTCAAGTAATCCAAAATATCCCATCATACAAATATCTTTTCATTTCAAAATGGCACATAAGGATTATCGGCATGCGCTTTCTCGTTTCTGACTCCGGGGTTCCGCAGCAGCGGGATCAGCATCCTTAACGATCTCGTGAAGCGAGCACGAAGGAAGTAAAAAGCTAAAAAGAGACAAGCCGCGAGGCAGGGGCATCGATTCTGCAAAATTGAATTTCCGATCCTGCGCGGTCGGCAATGAGATTTACGGACGCGCGGATTCCATTAGCGAGCCCGAGCGCGAATCCGCTATCTGCTCCGTAATTAATATATACGCGCTCAACGTCAACGTAATCGCGCGCCGACGTAAATCACGAGGCCGTGTGCTGGAAGTAGCGACGCGCGAAAATCCAACGCGTCGCGCCTACGGCCGAGCACTACCGGCGCGCGGGTTCAGACGCCGCCCTGGCTATCGCGTGTATCACCTCGGCGCGATTAGTTATTAGACGTGCGAGTAGCTACATCATCGATATTAATGGCAGCGAGCGGCGGGCTATAAAATTTCCATCGATTAGGTTCGCCGGGGCGCGAAACGCGCAGCCTCGCGGCGCGGGCGCGCGCGTTCCCTATCTCTCGCTGGCTCGTAATCGTAATTAACATCTCGACCGTTCCGTTTTACCGTGTTACTCCGCTTAGGCGAGTCGCCGTGGAGTCGCTCACGCACGACGAGTCAGCGTAATAACGGCCGCTTTGAACTGACCACGACGAGATAAACGGCGGCGGCCCCGCTCGTTACAGGAACCTCGTTAATTAAGGCGGAAAACGCGCGGGCGAAAACGCCGCACCGCGCCTAAGGCCACGAGCAACTTCTTTTTGTCCGATACGGTCCGGAGGGCTGGCACGGGGCACCAGCTCGTTGCCCGGCTCGCTATTTGCATTAATGCCCCCGACGACGACGAAATTGAATGAGCCGCGATTTTAAATACGCCGACTGGCCGGACCGTCGTCTCGGCTCCGTGCATTCGACATTCGGCTCTTCCCATTCCGCCGACGAGCCGTGCGTATGATTGCTACTTTGTCCGCCATTCTCGAGTAATCAACGCCGGATATTTACGTGCGCGCACCGCCGTGCGCCACTGCTAATCGCCATCTAACAAAAAGTAAACGGAGCAGAGCGAAAATGCGTTAGCGTCAGTGATGGAGGTCGGACTGGGAATTGGATCGCGGATAAGCGTGCGATATTTTCCACAAGGCGACGTGCAAATTTCGGTGCTGCGTCACCGACCTGGCAAATTTCGGCGAACTTGAAGGACCAATAGCGACTCACAAGGTATCTAGAGACGAAATTTTGCTTGTGCAGTAATCCTGCAAATACCGTCGAACTTGAAGGATCAATAGAGAATCGTGGAGATACAACACTATATTGAGCATTGTTCTGCCTTGATGCTGCAAATAGTAGTTTACTGTCGTTTTCTTCGTATTCGAAGCTCGTGTGTGAAGAAGAACAATTATTCAAGAATTATTTGATAATCTCTCTATTCTATCTCGCAATTTAACCTTTATTCTTAATTTCATAATGTTTTTACACGGAGGAAATTTTGTGATGAAGAATTACTATGGAACTTTTTAACCTAAGAACAGCTCGATATTCTGCAGTAATTGACTTTCATTTCATACGTGCACTGGGAAAAAAATACTTAAGAATTTATTTATGGGACATAAAATTTTTTTCACAGAAATATACTTTATATCCCAAATTTTCAAATTTCTTTTATTTCAGTGTGCTATTTATATTTTATAAATTTAAACTTACACAAATAATAAACAAATTTTTATATTTATAAGGAAATTTGCTGTTTTTAGCAAAATTTATTTAGTAAGATAGAGCTTTTTAGTAAGTTATAAGTTTTTTAGTAAGATAGAGCTGAGAAAAAATATTTGAAAATTTATTTATGGGATATTTATAAAAATAAACTTTATATCCTACAATTCAATTTTCCCTCAGAGAGTGTGCTCCGACAATTTACTTTTGCACTACTAGAAACATAGTAAAATTGAAAAGAATATATAAAAAAATTATTATATTCTTTCCGAGTATTCTCAATTCCATGATTTCATTATGCATTAATTACACAACTTATTCAATTACAAATAAAGTGTAAGCAATAAGTAAACGTTAAATAATTAATACACTTAAATAGAGCAAGTGGGTAAATGAATGGTAAATATATAAGATATTAAATTTTCTGTTTTCACACATAATCTTTTTATTATTTTCTTATTGGCTGTAAATTGATTAGGATTTGGAGATTTAAAAGAAGTGAAAAGAAAGGAGTTGTACGTGTGTATGATAAATGACTGTCGCGATATGTAAGCGTGAAACTGATTAGCTCGAAACATAATGACTCGTTTTCCAAGACTCGGTTGTGAAAAAGCGAACGACGTGCAAAAGTTTTAAAACAAAACAGTACCTTCAAAAAGATTCAAATAACCCGTCGCCTATCAATGGCATTCAGTAGACAATAAGTGACAGCAATCGAAACTCTCAAAATATTCCGGATCTTCTAGATGATCAAATTATTGTATCATTGAATTATATCAGCACGCGTGCGTGGTACATATCGAAAATGTCATTCGTAGCATACGATAACCGGTTAATGTGTCATCGGTTAACGTACTGTCATTAATTATTGCCGCGTTTCCTATCGGCTCATATACTTTCGTACTACAGCATTATTGACCGCCTGGTCACGATGACAACCAGGAGTTAACTCCAGGACAGATTACAGGATGCACGACGCATGACGTAATCGACAATGAGGCAATGTAATTCCTTCTTTTATATTCCCTTTAAATATCCAAATCCTATTGAAATTTTTAAGGCCAAAGATAATAATGAAGAAATTATAAAAGGAAAAAGTTTCATTCTTATCTATTTACTATTATTTATTTATTATTACTTACTATTTATTTACCATTTATTATTTATTGTTTATTTACTATTATTTACTATTATTTACTGTTTATTTACCATTTATTTACTATTATTTATTATTAATCTTTATTAGATTATTTAATACTTGCTTATTGGATTGCTTTATCTGTTCAGCAAATTATGTAATTAGTATTACATTGTTTATTGAAATTAAAAATTAAGAAAGACTAAATGCAAGTAGACTATGTGTGTGTGTGTTAAAAAAAATATATAATCCAATATTAAATATTTCTTAATAAGCACTTTTAAAGCTTTAACAAAACGATAATTATAATGACGGCAGATAATCATTTATAACATAAAAGGTGATATCCTGTATAATATTATATTCTGATATTTTTTATCGATTCTTTAATTCTGACGAAATTTGCAAGATTAACATGTGACTGTCATGTCATCCATATTTGAGTGACACGTGAGTTTCCGTGAGAATCCTATCACTCGTTCGTGGATGACAGTTTTACTTGTCTGACTAGAAATGATAATTGGAGATTCATTAAGTATTTAGAAGAATATTTAATCTGGTATGGAGAACAACAAAATATTATTAACGTAACATCGAAGATTCAGGCCTGTTGAGCATAAATAAATTTAACGTGGTGTTTAAAACATACTAATAAAACTAAAATTTCGAGTCGAGATATATCTTGCAGCTCAAACTGAATTTTAAAGTTTACTTATGTTTCT